ACACTGTCAGGGCCCTCAGACCACACTCATAATGGCTTCTTTGTCAAGTAAGCAAGGAAGTTGTGTTATTTTGGTTGCCTGGAAATTCATATCTGTTCCACTGAACTACAAGTGATCTTGGGTCCCTATTCAAGGCTGTGGATCTCCACATAAATGATATCTCTGTTACAGAGAAAGAAGGGGCTGCCGTGCTTGCTAGAATGTCTTCAGCTTTGCATCAGAGGCTCCAAGTTCGGTGTCAATCCAGCTTCCAGTGTGCCCAGTGCCCAAGTTCATGCTTTAGCAAGGGGAGAGAAGTCTGACTCCCAGGGACACACCAGACCTCTCAGGCAAAGGAGCAGAAGAAGCATGATTTAGTTGGACTAAGGTTGGCCACCTTTGTTAGCACCAATCTCTCATGATTTTTAGTTCTTCACAGACTAAGTTACAGCTTCTCCCAGATAAGAGGACCTGGAGACTGAGAAGGAATTAAAGTAGATATTAAAGTAGAAATTCCAAGGCCAAGTACCCACAAGGTCAGGCGAAGCAGCTTCTGAGGCCAGAACAAGAAAGTGCTGGAATGCTATGAGCAGCAACTCTGGAGGGCGCGAGCTTCCTTCGTCCTTGCCCAGCCTCATGGCCCCACCTGGACCCCAATCATGGGCACCATGTCTTCAATCCACAGCATGTTCAACGGGGCGGAGGCTCGAGTTTGTCGGCGGTGAATTCGGCGTAGCCGCAGAAGGTACAGGATGATGGCCAGGAGCACGACCAGGATGCAGGCAAAGAAGAGATAGTGGTTGTAGACAAAGGAGAGGCGGAACCAGCCACCGTGGGCCTGTCGGACACCCTCCTGCCGCAGATCCCTAGGAAAGAGTTCGAAGGTGGAAAGAAACGTTAGCTTCGGAGAGAGGCCTCGATGCTGACTTAAAGGCCCAGGGGTGTTAGCCTGTTTATTCCATCCATGCAAACACTCTATGATGCCATCTCCACAGAGCAAGCAAAGTGGAAGCATGTCTTCAGCCCCAGGGCTGCCGCGTGGCCCCTCCTGCACCTTCCTTCCCACGGCCTAAAGAGGAAGCCTCACAGGCCTACACCCTCCAGAATCTGGGGACAAAACCGGAGCCGACAACCTGAACAGTAGGACAAGACTGGTCGTCTGTAACACTGGTCTGAACAGCGGCCCCATGCC